TGGGGGGATATCTGTCCTGTCCTGACATTTGGGGGATATCTGTACCGTCCTGACATTTGGGGGATATCTGTACCGTCCTGACATTTGGGGGGATTTGTACTGTCCTGACATTTGGGGGGATTTGTACTGTCCTGACATTTGGGGGATATCTGTACTGTCCTGACATTTGGGGGATATCTGTACTGCCCTGACATTTGGGGATATCTGTACTGTCTTGACATTTGGGGGATATCTGTACTGTCCTGACATTTGGGGGATATCTGTACTGTTCTGACATTTGGGGGATATCTGTACTGTCCTGACATTTGGGGGATATCTGTACTATTCTGACATTTGGGGGATATCTGTCCTGTCCTGACATTTGGGGGATATCTGTCCTGTCCTGACATTTGGGGGATATCTGTACTGTCCTGACATTTGGGGGATATCTGTACTGTTCTGACATTTGGGGGATATCTGTACTATTCTGACATTCTTGGACCTCAAGAAATTAGATTGGCTGTCAGTACTTCAGGATTGATCAATAATCAGATCTATCCCATAGTTTGTGAACTCTATAACTTTCCTACAAACTAAAAAATACATCCTAATTTGGGTTATTTTCACCAAAGACATGTAGCAGAATACATCTCGGCCTAAATTTATGAAGAACAATTATTTATTTGTAAACTTTTATAACAGAAATTTAAAAAAACGTGTTTTTTTTCAAAAATTTTGGTCTTTTTTTGTTAATTTAGCAAAAAATAAAAATACCAGCGGTGATTAAATACCACCAAAAGAAAGCTCTAGTTGTGTGAAGCAAATGATAAAATTTTAGTTTGGGTACAATGTTGTATGACCGCGCAATTGTCATTCAAAGTGTGAGAGCGCTGAAACCTGAAAACTGGCCTGGGCAGGAAGGGTAAAATTGCCCGGTATGGAAGGGGTTAAGGACAACAGAATAGTCAGGAGCCAGAGCCAAACCAAGGACAATGGAATGGTCAGGAGCCAGAGCCAAACCAAGGACAATGGAATGGTCAGGAGCCAGAGCCAAACCAAGGACAATGGAATGGTCAGGAGCCAGAGCCAAACCAAGGACAATGGAATGGTCAGGAGCCAGAGCCAAACCAAGGACAATGGAATGGTCAGGAGCCAGAGCCAAACCAAGGACAATGGAATGGTCAGGAGCCAGAGCCAAACCAAGGACAATGGAATGGTCAGGAGCCAAGGTGATACATTGGTGATCAGCAGGGTTAGAGACAATGGAATGGTCAGGAGCCAAGGTGATACATTGGTGATCAGCAGGGTTAGAGACAATGGAATGGTCAGGAGCCAAGGTGATACATTGGTGATCAGCAGGGTTAGAGACAATGGAATGGTCAGGAGCCAAGGTGATACATTGGTGATCAGCAGGGTTAGAGACAATGGAATGGTCAGGAGCCAAGGTGATACATTGGTGATCAGCAGGGTTAGAGACAATGGAATGGTCAGGAGCCAAGGTGATACATTGGTGATCAGCAGGGTTAGAGACAATGGAATGGTCAGGAGCCAAGGTGATACATTGGTGATCAGCAGGGTTAGAGACAATGGAATGGTCAGGAGCCAAGGTGATACATTGGTGATCAGCAGGGTTAGAGACAATGGAATGGTCAGGAGCCAAGGTGATACATTGGTGATCAGCAGGGTTAGAGACAATGGAATGGTCAGGAGCCAAGGTGATACATTGGTGATCAGCAGGGTTAGAATATATTTGTAAAATATTCTTCCCAAATATATTGACATATATTTGAAATACTACAATTTTGGCCGTATTCAATATATTTCAAAATTTATTTCAATAAATATATATATATATATATATATAGTATATATATATATATATATATGCTGTATGTTGAAATGCATTTTTTATTACAAAATATATGAAAAATATTTTTAAAAATATATATTTTTTAAATATATTCTTCAGATTTTTTTAACATATAAAAAAAGTCATTTTAACATATATTTGTAACTTCATTCCAAAAATGTAGATTTGTGTTTTTAAAGACATACGGTATATTTGAAATGTATTTTTAAAAATATTTTTCATATATTTTGTAATAAAAAACGCATTTCAACATGCAGTGTATATATATATATTTATTGAAATATATTTTGAAATACGTATATTGAATACGGCTAAAATTGTAGTATTTCAAAAACATGTCAATGTATTTGGGAAGAATATTTTTAAAATATATTTTAAATATATTTTTCTTCCATGTGGGTCTATTTTTATTACTTGGAAGGATCCGCGGTGGATATGCGCACAGCTGCGGAATATGGAGATTTTATCAATTATCCGCATGCGATATCCAACAATCTTTTATAATGCCTATATATTATTATTTTTTTTTTTGTTCTCTACAGGATGCCAATCCGCTATATTAGGTGGGAGACGTATTGACTCTATTTCAGTCCTTATGAAAACGGGAAATTATACTCTCGGAATATTCAATCAGCGCACAAGTCGCTACTGAGCACAATGCATTGACTACAGGCTTTAGTGGATTATTTTTTTCAGTTTTTCCAATTGAAGACGGGTCTGTGCAGATGTAATGTTTATAAGGCGGAGTCATGCATGTGTAGGCGGAGTTATGCTTTCCTATATAAAGTGTGATGTGTGTTTAACCCCTTCATGACTGCGCTCGTGACAGACCTTCACCCCGAAACCCAATCTAACAACGTTTCGTTAAACAGTTCTAGTCCGGACACTTTCCCCCCTTCCAGTCCGGACACTTTCCCCCCTTCCAGTCCGGACACTTTCCCCCCTTCCAGTCCGGACACTTTCCCCCCCTTCCAGTCCGGACACTTTCCCCCCCTTCCAGTCCGGACACTTTCCCCCCCTTCCAGTCCGGACACTTCCCCCCCTTCCAGTCCGGACACTTCCCCCCCTTCCAGTCCGGACACTTTCACCCCCTTCCAGTCCGGACACTTTCACCCCCTTCCAGTCCGGACACTTTCACCCCTTCCAGTCCGGACACTTTCCCCCCTTCCAGTCCGGACACTTTCCCCCCCTTCCAGTCCGGACACTTTCCCCCCCTTCCAGTCCGGACACTTTCCCCCCCTTCCAGTCCGGACATTTCCCCCCCCTTCCAGTCCGGACACTTTCACCCCCCTTCCAGTCCGGACACTTTCCCCCCCTTCCAGTCCGGACACTTTCCCCCCTTCCAGTCCGGACACTTTCCTTCCCTTCCAGTCCGGACACTTTCCTTCCCTTCCAGTCCGGACACTTTCCTTCCCTTCCAGTCCGGACACTTTCCCCCCTTCCAGTCCGGACACTTTCCCCCCCTTCCAGTCCGGACACTTTCCCCCCCTTCCAGTCCGGACACTTTCCCCCCCCCTTCCAGTCCGGACACCTTCCCCCCCCTTCCAGTCCGGACACCTTCCCCCCCCTTCCAGTCCGGACACTTTCCCCCCCCCCTTCCAGTCCGGACACTTCCCCCCCTTCCAGTCCGGACACTTCCCCCCCTTCCAGTCCGGACACTTTCCCCCCCCCTTCCAGTCCGGACACTTCTCCCCCTGATCTCATAGCGATCTCAGTGTCTATGCAGCAGAAGAGGGTAACGGTGAGCGATCTCAGTGTCTATGCAGCAGAAGAGGGTAGCGGTGAGCGATCTCAGTGTCTATGCAGCAGAGGAGGGTAGCGGTGAGCGATCTCAGTGTCCATCCAGCAGAAGAGGGTAACGGTGAGCGATCTCAGTGTCTATCCAGCAGAAGAGGGTAGCGGTGAGCGATCTCAGTGTCTATCCAGCAGAGGAGGGTAACGGTGAGCGATCTCAGTGTCTATGCAGCAGAAGAGGGTAACGGTGAGCGATCGTTTGCGGTGAAATTCTATTAATACATGTCGTTGACCTGGATGGGATTTTTGTTTTTCTCATCAGAAATGTAGTTTTCTTCAAAGGCTCGCACATGTGTAGAAGATATATATATGTATTATCAGAGCCCTCTGAAGAGCGATACGCCGTATAATGTGTACAGTAAGTGAGATGTGACAAGCCAATATCTACAAAGGTCACATCAAAGCGCCGAGCAAAATGAGCCGAAAAGAAAAACATATTGCCAGTCAGTGATAACAGCGTTCAAAGAGACGCCGAGCTCTCGCCGCCGAGCGGAGATATTAATCTGAATAAATGACAGAGCGATCTCATATTTACATTTCTTGTGTTTTATTTATTTCCCCGGAGCTCCGGGACACGTCTACCCGTAATAACTGCAGACGTGTCACTTCCAGCCACGCAGGATAGCGGACACATGGTAACACCCGGCTCCGTTCATGCTGAATGCTCAGCACCTCCGGGGGAGCGCCGCTTTTCTTGTAATCAACTACTAGGAACATTGCAATGGATTTTTTATTTATTTATTTTTTTTTTTTGCAGCAATACTTTATTGAATTAAGTGATTTACTAGCAGCTGAGGGGGATGGGAGAGGATTTATTGTTGGATTCAATGGCACAGCGAGTGGTGATGACCATTTTGTTGAATTCGTTGGTGTTGCCAGGAGAAAAAAACCATCAGCTGGCAAGACATGGGCTAGAAATCCAAGGACTGCTTATTTTGTAGCCCCCGTCCAATAAAAAACAAAAAATGTTTAGTGGAAGTTATCAAAATATAAAAAAATATATATATATATGATACAAAATTAAAATGATATAATTAATAGAAATATATATTGTCCCATGACATATATATATGAAAGATAACATTTCTCATATTGCAGCTCACCAACCTATCTGCACCAGGGGTGGGCAACTGTGGCCCTCCGGCTGTTGTTGATCTACAAGTCCCATGAGGCATTGCAAAACTGACAGTTACAAGCATGACTCCCAAAGGCAAAGGCATGATGGGACTTGTAGTTCACCAACAGCTGGCGGGCCACAGTTGACCACCCCTGATCTACACTATATTGCCCAAAGTATTGTCCCCACCCTCCCAATCATGTGATTCAGGTGTTCCCATCCCCTCCATATCATGTTATTCAGGTGTTCCAATCCCCTCCATATCATGTGATTCAGGTGTTCCAATCCCCTCCATGGACACAGGTGTATACAATCAAGCCCCTAGGCATGCAGACTGCTTCTACAAACATTGGTGAAAGAATGGGTCGCTCTCAGGAGCTCAGTGACTCCAAGCGTGGTCCCGTAATAGGTGGCCACCTGTGAAATAAGTGGATTGGTTATTACACTATTGTCAGAACCGGGTCCGAACCTGAGCCTTCTGCGGTGAGTGGCAATGTTTCTTCTTGCTGAGCCACCTGGAATGCTTGACTGCTCCCTTGACAATTATTTGGATGATCCTACCTTGATCTTGTTTGTCCTGAACCTTGAACCCCTTGCTCCTCCCATGAACTTCCTGATATAAGCCATATCTCTGCACTCTGTTAGATTATTGCGCTTTCCAGCCAGTATTGTGCTCATTATCGTCTTTGTTATTATCCACATTTTGCTACCACTTGTTATTGACCCTTGGCTTGTTCTCGACTACGCTTCTGCCTGATCCCAACCTGCGACTGCTCATTACCGACCTTGGCTTGTTCTCGACTATGCTTCTGCCTGATCCCAACCTGCGACTGCTCATTACCGACCTTGGCTTGTTCTCGACTATGCTTCCACTTGATCCCAACCTGCGACTGCTCATTACTGACCTCGGCTTGTTCTCGACTACACTTCTGCCTGATCCCAACCTGCGACTGCTCATTACTGACCTCGGCTTGTTCTCGACTACACTTCTGCCTGATCCCAACCTGCGACTGTTCATTACCAACCTTGGCTTGTTCAGGACTACGCGTCTGCCTGATCCCAACCTGCGACTGCTCATTACCGACCTTGGCTTGTTCTCGACTACGGTTCTGCCTGATCCCAACCTGCGACTGTTCATTCATTACCAACCTTGGCTTGTTCTCGACTACGGTTCTGCCTGATCCCAACCTGCGTCTGCTCATTACCAACATTGGCTTGTTCTCGACTACGGTTCTGCCTGATCCCAACCTGCGACTGCTCATTACCGACCTTGGCTTGTTCAGGACTACGCTTCTGCCTGATCCCAACCTGCGACTGCTCATTAATGACCTTGGCTTGTTCTCGGCTACGCTTCTGCCTGATCCCAACCTGCGACTGCTCATTACAGACCTTGGCTTGTTCTCGACTGCGCTTCTCCCTGATCCCAACCTGCGACTGTTCATTACCAACCTTGGCTTGTTCTCGACTACGGTTCTGCCTGATCCCAACCTGCGACTGCTCATTACAGACCTTGGCTTGTTCTCGGCTACGCTTCTGCCTGATCCTACCCTGCGACTGCTCATTACAGACTATGCTTGTGTTTGATCCTTACCTGCTTAATACACTACTGGACCTCCGCTTGCTCACCTCCTGATGGGGTGATCCGGAGGACCGCATGCTAACATACAGAAAATCCATCTCCACAATCAGGAGCTCTGGTGAACACCGGTTGGTACTTAGACTCCTCACCTCGGGTGATCCCACTCCTCCGCCACGGTGACCTGCCTGTGTACCTATCCTGCTGGTTTCAGGTGAGCCTTTCCACTGTTATAGCAACTGGTCTTTGAGCCGGACCCCTGATCGTGACAACTATTTTGAAGCTAACCGACAAGTGCGAACGCGGCTAAATTTTTAGTTGGGCGTTTCTGACCTCTGGTCACGGAAGGGTTAAACCTTGGCGCTCTCTTCCGGCATCACGCTCTAGGATCGACGGTTATCTGACGAGGTCCGCTCACAGGAGACGCCATTGTGTGTTTGACAGCCAATAGACAATGATATCTACTGAGACGATCGCTCAGATGCTGACAGTCTGAGCAGAACGGATGCTGGCGTTCGCCCGCCGTACGAAACCTGACAAATGAACCGCGACGGGCGAGTCTTTCATCCATTGTCTGTGAGGCCAAACAAGATGCAAAAAAATTATCACTTTCTAGTATAATATGACAACCGCTACCGACCTGATATCAAAGTCAGAAGAAAACATTTCTCATATTGCAGCTCACCGATCGATCTATCTACACTATATTTCCCCAAGTATTGGCTCCGCCCTCCCAATAATTGGATTCAGGTGTTCCAATCCCCTCCCAATCATGTGATTTAGGTGTTCCAATCCCCTCCATATCATGTGGTTCAGGTGTTCCAATCCCCTCCCAATCATGTGATTCAGATGCTCCAATCCCCTCCATATTATGTGGTTCAGGTGTTCCAATCCCCTCCATATTATGTGGTTCAGGTGTTCCAATCCCCTCCCTATCATGTGATCCAGGTGTTCCAATCCCCTCCATGGACACAGGTGTATACAATCAAGCCCCTAGACATGCAGACGGCTTCTGCAAACATTGGTGAAAGAATGGGTCGCTCTCAGGAGCTCAGTGACTCCAAGCGTGGTCCCGTGATAGGTGGCCACCTGGGCAATAAGTCCATCCGTGACGTTTCCTGGCTACTAAATATTCCACGGTCAACTTTTAGTGGGATTATAACAAAGCGGATTCAACTGGGAACAACAGCCACTCAGCCACCAAGTGGTAGGCCACGTCACATGACAGGGCAGGGTCAGCGCATGCTGAAGCGCACAGTGCACAGAAGTCACCAACTGTCTGCAGAGTCAATAGCTAAAGACCTCCAAACTTGGTGTGGCCTTCAGATGAGCCCAACAACAGTGCGTAGAGAGCTTCATGGAATGGGTTTCCATGGCCGAGCAGCTGCATCCAAGTCTTCCATCACCAAGTGCAATGCAAAGCGTTAGATGCCGTGGTGTAAAGCACGCCGCCACTGGACTCTAGAGCAGGGGAGGCGTGTTCTCTGGAGTAACCAATCACGCTTCTTTGTCTGGCAATCCGATGGACGTGTCTGGGTTTGGTGGTGACCAGGAGAACGGTACTTGCCTGACTGCATTGTGCCAAGTGTAATGTTTGGTGGAGGGGGGATTATGGTGTGGGGTTGTTCCTCAGGGGTTGGATTTGGCCCCCTAGTTCCAGTGAAGGGAACTCTTAAGGCGTTAGCATATCAAAACATTTTGGACAATTTCATGCTCCCAACTTTGTGGGAGGAGTTTGGGGATGGCCCCTTCCTGTGCCAACATGACTGCGCACCAGTGCACAAAGCAAGGTCCATAAAGACATGGAGGAGCCAGTTTGGGGTGGAGGAACTTGACTGTCCTGCACAGAGTCCTGACCTCAACCCCATAGAACACCTTTGGGATGAATTAGAGCGGAGACTGCGAGCCAGGCCTCCTCCCCCGACATCAGTGCCTGACCTGACAAATGTGCTTCTGGAAGAATGGTCCAACCTTCCCATAGACACCCTCCTAAACCTTGTGGACGGCCTTCCCAGAAAAGTTGAAGGTGTTATAGCTGCAAAGGGCGGGGCCAACTCAATATTGAACCCTACGGACTAAGACTGGGGGGCCATTAAAGGTCATGTGCGTGGAAAGGGCGGGGCCAACTCAATATTGAACCCTACAGACTAAGACTGGGGGGCCAGTAAAGGTCATGTGTGTGGAAAGGGCGGGGCCAACTCAATATTGAACCCTACAGACTAAGACTGGGGGGTCATTAAAGGTCATGTGTGTGTAAAGGGCAGGGCAAACTCAATATTCAACCCTACGGACTAAGACTGGGGGGCCATTAAAGGTCATGTGGGTGGAAAGGCCAGCAGCCCAATACTTGGGGGCAATATAGTGTGTGTGTATATGTGTATATATATATATATATATATATATGCACAAACACACACACAAGGTGGTATCAAAACATACATTGTGACATACCAACAAATGGCAGTACACGGCTACAAACACCTTTACAGGGAGCACCAATGTTCATAAGTCAGTGTGCCAACAGACATCATCCTGTGTACATCGGGAGCTGTGCAACTGGTGCTGTTCTGACCACGTGTGTTACCACGTCTGCTATTTCATAATGGACAGCAAGTTAGAGCAAAGAGCAAACGTGAAACCGAGCAAATCGCTGGATCTCTGCAATGTTGTCAAAATGGCGACCTTTTGAGCTGGACCTTCATCTTCTGGAAGAGGTCATTTTCGGGGGTTGATCTCGTTGAAGGTCTTCCTGATCTCTCATCATCTTCCAGTGATGTTCTTCTGATCTTGAAGCCCGCGTGCCACTCAAAACGCCTTAGACGACTCTATGCAGGAAACTTGCCAAGTCATGTCATACGTCTCTGGGGAAAACTTGCCCAGAATTTTTCAACTGTTTGATATCTTTATGGCTTTTGTTGAGTGTCTGGTAATCAGGGTGTGGAAGGTTGTACCATAAGGTCTTCTTTAATATCCATCCTGTCCAAGAATTTTCAGGGCCCAAGGGAAAAAAAAAAAAGAAAATGGGCCTTCCTGACCCTCAGCCAGGGCTCTTCCCACTGATCCCAGGGCCCTTTACTTCTATCACAAGGCCCTTTTTTTTTCGCCACTTTCACATATTCTGCAGCTGGACTCCTACCTGCCATCTTGGGGCCCTCCATAGTGGCAGGACAGTTACATAGTTACATACATAGTATGTTCCCAGTCGCAAGTGCAACCTTTGCGACCCTGTTGGTTCCGCCACTAGTGGCAGCAGTTTTTATTTTTCTTCTTTTTTTTTTTTTTTACCATTTTTTTTGTACAGTTTTGGTGAAAAAGTAGGGGTCTAAGCAGACCTCTGATGTTCCACCTTTGAGACGGAGAAAGGAGATTGAGGACACAGATTCTCCATCTCTGCAGCCTCAGCACCACTGAATGAATGGACAGGAATAGCTCTGTACAGAGCTTCCCCTCCATTCATAATCTGAAGCATAGCAAATGCAGTTCACTATGCTTCAGCTATGAAGGAACAGATCAGTACCGATCACTGACTCTGTCCATTCAGAAAAGGAAGGAGCCACCCACATGGAAGAAAAAAATATATTTGAAATGCTACAATTTTGGCCATATTCAATATATTTCAATATATATATATATATATATACAGTGAAGGAAATGTGTATTTGCTCCCCGGCTGATGCTGAATGTTCACCCCTCACACAGAAATGATCGGTCTAACAATGGAATGTTCGCCCCTCACACAGAAATGATCGGTCTAACAATGGAATGTTCGCCCCTCACACAGAAACGATCGGTCTAACAATGGAATGTTCCCCCTCACACAGAAATGATCGGTCTAACAATGGAATGTTCGGTGTAACACTGAGAGACAGAATACAACAACAAATTCAGCAGAAATGCGTCTAACAAATGATGACGGATCTGCATGTTCATGAGGGAAAGAAGATTTGATCCCCTCCACAAAACATGACTTAGTACTTGGTGGCTAATCCCTTGTTGGCAATCACAGAGGTCAGACGTTTCCTGGAGTTGGCCCCCAGGTTCGCACACATCTCAGGAGGGATTTTGGCCCACTCCTCTTGGCAGATCCTCTCCAAGTCATTAAGGTTTGGTGGCTGACGTTTGGCAACTCGAACTTTCAGCTCCTCCACAGATTTTCCATCGGATGAAGGTGTGGAGACTGGCTAGGCCACTCCAGGACCTTAATGTGCTTCTTCTTGAGCCGCTCCTTTGTTGCCTTGGCCGTGTGTTTTTGGGTCATTGTCATGCCGGAACACCCATCCACCACCCATTTTCAATGCCCTGGTAGGTATGCCTTTGGCTCCCACTTATTTTGATGGGGTACAAACAGGGGCGGACTGACAACTCATGGGGCCCCCCGGGTAATAGGGGATTATGGGGCCCCTGTGTCCTTGCCCAAACTCAAAAAAGCCTATGAAAAAGGTACCAGGGGTATCTCATGGGTCCCCCTAGTGACCCCGGGCCCTCGGGCAGTGCCCGAGTTTCCAAATGGTCAGTCCGCCCCTGGGTACAAATCCTGCTTCCGAAGTTCTCTGAACTGAATCCGGGGCAGTTAAGCTCATCCCTAGATGTAAGGTATTTTTTAAAAAATTTTCTTCCACTGTTTTATATCTTCACAACTTTTATTAAGTGTTTTTTTTATTTTTTTTTATTCAAGGTTGCAAAATAAGGTCGCCACATATCATTCCTGTCCCCAAGGAGCTTACAATCTATTACCACCACTGACTCATTTATTAAAAAAAACACTCAATATGTTCCATTATAAGAGGTACCATCCTGCCAAATACTCTGTATCCAGGGAACATTCCCGTTAAGTAAAAAAAAAAAAAAAAAAAAAAAGTTGCCAGCTACTCATCCGTGAAATCTCTGAAACCAATCCAAAGGATTTCAAACCATTCAGATTCTCAAAGTCACTAAATTTTGATATAATAAATTTGCCTGTGAATGGTTGCGGTAATTAGCGGGCACACAACGGGCCAATGTTCTGCTCAGCCGCTCATGTAACGCGTCTTGGAGAATCATTTTGCTGATGGATTAAGCAATGTCAACAGAGTAGTTAATGCAACCTATTAACGGGCCAACATGCTCAGGAAAACAAACACTCCGGAGTCTGACGAATCAGCAGTCTGAGATTCGTCTGGTGGATGTCTGCTTTGAGGTAAGCTTTGTCATACGCTCTGCAATAATGATAATATTGGTATTATTATTTGTATTATTATTATTATTTGTATTATTATTTATATATTATTATTATTATTATTTGTATTATTATTTTTATTTTTATTATTATTATTTTATTATTATTATTTATATTATTTGTATTATTATTTATATTATTATTATTATTATTTATTATTATTATTATTATTTTGTATTATTATTTTATATTATTATTATTATTTTATTTATTATTTATTATTATTATTATTATTATTATTTTATTATTATTATTTATTATTTGTATTATTATTTATATTATTATTATTATTATTATTATTTGTATTACTATTATTTTATTATTATTATTTTTTTAATTATAATTTTTTTTTTTTATTATTATATTATTATATTATTACTATTACGGGGGGCAGCACAGTGGCTAAATGGTTAGCACTTCCACCTGGCAGTACTCGAGTCATTGGTTTTAAATCCCAGCCACAGCACCACCTGCCTGGAGTTTGCATATTCTCCCTGTGCCTGCATGGGTTTCCTCCGGGTACTCCGGTTTCCTCCTTAACTTCAAAGACATGCTGGGAGGTGAATTGGCTCCAGTCTAAATTGGCCCTAGTATGTGTATGTATGAATGTGAGTTAGGGACCTTAGATTGTACGCCCCTTGAGGGTTAGGGACTGATGTGAATGTACAATATATATGTAAAGCGCTGCGTAAATTAATGGCATTCTATAAGTACCTGAAAAAAAAAAAAATATTTTATTATTATTTTTTTAATGATTATTATTTTTGTATTATTATTATTATTGTATCATAAGTATTATTATTTGTATTATTATTTTTTTTATTATTATTATTATTAT